AAAATACCTTCAGGTGCTGAATCTTTGAAACAAGTGAAACGGCATCTTCTGCAGGAAGATGGCTGGGCTGGGTTTTATTGTTCTTGCAGCAGCAAATCATTTCAGAGGGCTTCCCTTTGCAGAAAAAAGCCCACGTGGGTTATTTGTTTTGGTGCTTGCATGATTTCTTTATGATAGTTGAACAAATTCTGGTGCAAGATGAGGCAACAAACCACCTTTTCGCTCTTTCTTTATAAATAAGAACATAACAGGTATTTCTCTGAATTAATCAAGGGGAGATCTGTCTGCCTGGGTAGTTTCTATATACAGTTTTTAAGCACAGTCTCCGGGCTGACTCTGTGGCTCAAGTGCAGGAACAGAAAACAAAGAGGTTGTAGAAATTTCTATGACATAAATACATAGAAAAATCTACTGATCCAAAAGAAGTTGCAAAGGTGCAATGAAACTGATACAAATACTATCATTATAATCTTTCCATTATAATGTGTATCATGTTTTGAGACTGTATATATGTATATATACTATATGTATTTTAAGTGCTTTATATTAGGTAGCATATTTGGTTGCTATATGGCAAGCTTTTTACCAAGTAATTGTCTTCATTAACATTTTCATGGGTGTTCAATTGAATGTGGTTTTGGTACAACACCAAGCTTCCTAGAGCATTTGCATCTTTGTCCTGTTCACGCTTTAATAGATACTTTTAGGGTATTTCCTCTACAGCCGCAGCTCTGCCCGCTGCTCTTACCTGCGGTTTAAATTAATTTTGTTGCTTCTCTGCAAGCATCCGATGCTCAATGGAAAGCATCCCTCTGAGGTCTGCGGTCGAGAGGGTGTGAGAAAGGACAGGAGGTCCTCGTTGGGTCAGCGTGTGCCTGGGGGGCTTCCCAAAGGGCTTGCTTGATGTCCACCCATCCTCCTGCAGCTCCACACACCCTCCCAGCGAGCCGTTTCCTCGGCATTATTTGCCAAAGGGATAACTGACACTAATTTCTTGGCAGAGAAAAGGGAGAGGAGCAGTAAGGGAACATAAAGCTGCTGCCAAGGGTACATCAGAGACCTCCTTCCTCGTTCTGCAGTATTGATGTGGACACTTGGCTGCTTTTCAGTCCTGCTCTGGCACGGTCAGAGTGCCTTAAACGTAGTACGGGTCATCTTGATTTATCACACATGCTCTTCCCTGGCCTTTCGTCCCTCACATACGAGTTTCCCGTCCTCTCATGTATATGCTGAAATATGGATGAGGGGAAGCCTCGTATATTGTCATCAGTCCCTCTGTTTCCAGTCAGTTTAGCTCAATAGGTTGTTTAATTTTATTACCAGCTCATCCCTTAAAAGCATCACCATTGTTCTTGGTTGCTGGAGGAGAGGAGGAGGAAGCCGGTCTGCCTGCAGAAGACTTCGTTGGGGAACCAGGAGAGCAGCTTTTTTCCGTCCCTGCTGGTACTGTGCCAAGGATGCGCTGTGCATCCTATACAGTATCCACGAGACCAGCGTGGATCTATAGCTGACACACTGCTGGTCGCTGTGTTTGGAAAGTAAAAAAAAAAAAATAGAGAAATGAAGATGGTTTAACAAAGGGAAACAAAATGAGGTGCTTACTTAATCCGAGGATTAAGCTAGCACAGCTGGCCTGCTCTGACAAAGCAGAGATTTAAGAGTGAACCCTGTTGCAGTGCACACAAATCCCATGGGAACCGAGACTAAAGGGCAATGAAGCGGTGTGGCACCGGTGTGGCATCAGATATCGGTATAAGGAAGAGTGAGTTCCCACAAAGAAACAGCTGGGCAGTGAAAAAAGGCACTTGGACTTGCTTTATTCTCAGTGTAGTTGATATGCAGTATTAATCTCCACCTTAAGCGTGGGTATATGCACAGCTGAATTAATTGCAGGAGAGTGGAGCGTTGCCTTTTGTTACAGTTTTGTAAAACACTCTGTTATGAACCACTTGGTTATGAGGTTTTCTCGCTTTCTAAAATATATCAACTCTGTGGCTGGAAATTTCCATCTTTGAGTGCTCACCAAAAGTTGTAGGATCTTTTATTGTTCTCAGAAGCTTTGGCAAGGTCCAAAGCAAACTTCATGGGTAAGGTAGGATGGGATTTGAATTTTCAAAATTGTGTTAATTCAAACTAAGGGTACCTGCTGAACCATCAAAAATTCGTAAATTAAATGCAGAAGATGACTGCAGATCTCTTTGTATGTGCTGGCTCTGTCTTATATACACACTTACAGATATAAATGTGACAACTATTGGCTGAGAAGCTGTATGGGAATCAAAGGTCTGAAGATGCTATTTTAATGCAGGTATTCAAAAAAGCAGAGTTAAAGTTGGATATTCAGTTGATTTACTTTTTTATATCCTTCCTGTTAAATGTTTAGCCTTGCAAATTTAATAAAGACAAAGAAAGGCATGTAGTGAATATTCTCTCAAGCAGGCATCCAGAACACTAGCAAAAATTTGCTTCAGGGAGACGTTTGCTAACAGCAGGTTTAAATTGAAATCACAGGAATCCACCAGAACTCTTTAAAGTTATCTTCTAAAAGGGAGTTACTTGCTGAAGGTTGTCTCTATTATAGGTTTCAGTTTGTGCGAAAGAGTGAATTAGGGTTTCTGCAGTCAAGGATAGGTATTAAAGAAAACAATTAAATATATTTACTGCCTTTTTGATACAAACTTCTGTTGTTTTAGAGCGAGTGGCAGAATCGCATTGGTCCCAACAACATTTCAGAGTATAGCTTCCCATAGAAGACCTTATTTGTATTCCTCCCAGGAGCAAAAATAGGAAATACAGCATGCTTTGTATTGTATAGATTTTTCCCAGCCTGACTGAAAGCACTGTATTATTCATGCACAGGGTATCCATCCAAAGGGGTGCCAAAACCATTTCTCTTTGCATGTGGGAAGGCAGAAGAGTTGTCCCCGTGATAAAACCGAATTTGTAATCGCAGCTGTGGGCAGTGGCGTGGTAGTGACTCCTCATTTAACAGCTCTCAAATCGTGGTTCCCAAAAAAGTGCTTTTTCTACGGCATTTTGTGTTGGAAAGCCATGTTAATGAAGGTAGAAATTCACCAAATGTTTCATTTCTTACTTTTCTGAGTGATTGATGCAGTTGCCAGTGGGATATGACAGTCTAAGTCAACAGGAGTGGTTTGGTTGGAGGGGAAGAAGCATATCTCTGAAATGTCTTCTGCTCCACAGGAACAGATGAGGATATCTGAGCGTTTGTAGGTGGGTAGAGCTAAGTGAGGTGTTTCATGTTTGCTGTAGAAGTCAATAACATGTTTTACTTTAAAGAGAGATCATGCTTTACCAAAAAAAAAAAAAAAATGGTCTAGCCTGGCTATGAACTTGTCCACCCAGTTCAATCTTGTATTCACCTTTGAATGCCCGTTTGGACTTTGGCTGCATTGCTCAGCTGTCCTCACTCCCCAAAGCTTTCTGGCCTCTTACGGCTATCTGAGAAATGCCTGGTCAGGGAAGCTTGTTAAGGGCTTTTGTGAAGTTCAGAAAGGATTTAACTTGTTTCTAATAGCCAGAACGGATCAACATTAGCCCCATCTTACAGAGAGGAAGAAGAGCTGAATTACCACTGCCATAGTCCACTGGAGTTGGAGATGTTCCTGCGTCTCAGTCCTCAGACACAGCCAACAGATAAGGATTCCTCCCAAACCGTAGTATGAGGGATACAGCCTAAGGCAACATATTTTTTATTGTCAAGCAGAAGAAAATCCTTGAAGAGATTTTTTTAATGAAGGCTATTTTTATTTTTTGCCTTTAATGAATTCAATTGAGCAATTCAAAACCATTTCAGAGTCATTCTTTTTTTTTTTTTTCTCAAGTGACAGTGAAGTCCCACAAATCTAGGGAGATGCTGGCAATAAAACTGCTTAGATAGTATATAAAATGCCACTGATGGGATTATTTTGCTGCAGCTCGTTGCAGCTATTATGCTCAGCAGCATGATTCCTCATTGTAAGTTCATAAAAGAGCTAATGACAGGAAGTGGAGATTTGCAAAGTTGAATGAAAGTGGAATGCAAATTCATAACAAAAAGAGCAACTAATGATGGGAAGAGTGTACTGAGGACCATGGTAAATGTGCCGTCACTTAGAGTCTTTCAATGAAATGCACTTGGTTTCAGCCAGGAGCTATTGTAATTAGATGTAGGAACCATGTCATGATTTTCTCCATCCTAATGGTACACAAAAAGTCATGCTGGAGTCTCTTTACCTGCAAAAGCGATGAGAATATTTGCCATGCAAATACTTCTGGGAGATAACCAAACATGCTCTTTGTGGAGACAAGTATTGGGAAAGCTAAATCTGAATGCAAAAGATGAAACGTGACAGTGGAGTGAGCAGTTACACACCTTGAAAGAAAATTTTTCAGCTTTTGGGGGGTAAACACATTTGTCTTGGTCGTCATTTTTCACCAGGTGCTATCTCTGTGCAAGTAAAATAATGCACGGACTGATACTCAAAATCATTTGTTTGTCACTTTGTCATGATAAGCCATCAGGTTTCACAGGAGATTTCTTCTGATAGATGTGTGGAAAAAAAAGTGAATTGGGGATTGGAAGAGCTGATTTACAAGGAAAGATTAAAAGTACTGCATGTGCGTTATTTGTGCATATCCCAGGGAGGCACAGAAAGCACTTGCATGTCTCAGCAAGGTGTAAATGCTGGGGGCTGGGGAAGAGGTGTGGGAGTTGATCAGGGTGAAGTTTGTAACTCTGAGGAATAAGGTGAAATTCAGAGATTATAAATGCAGAGAGAAGGATAGAAAAAAAACTCCCCGAAATAGAGGTGTCATGAGCTGCAGAATATTTTATCCACCGTAACAAGACTTCAAAAACTCCACCAGACAACGTTCTTGAGACCCCGTGCTGGAACAGTTATGCACTGACTGGTTTGACCTTCTCCATGGTGTTACTGGTGTCTCCCCCTTGCTGTCCTGTGCTGTGTTTCTGAGAGTGGCTTTGATTTGCATTTCAGGGCTGCTTTCGGCAAAGAGTCAGAAGTTCTCATTGGCAACCTGGGAGATAAACTCATTCCTCAACAGGAGATCCTGCGGGACGTCAGCGACCTGAAGGCCTTGGCCAACATGCACGAGAGCCTGGAGTGGTTAGCAGGTCGCACCAAGGCAGCCTTCGCCAACCTCTCAACCACCCAGAGTAAGTAGCTCCCATAGGAGAACCTTTGTCTTAGAAATGGAGAACCAACATAATGACGTGATCTTCGCAGGAGTGGGCATCTTCTGTTCGTGATTTCAAAGCGGGTTTATGTTGGAGGGAAGTCAAAAGCAAAGCAGCTCAATCTCTTTCTTCCTAGTGAATGCTGTGGTGTGACATTGCTCAGGCTGCGGTGGGCACCACGTGAGGGTACCAGGAGCATCCTTTCTAGCGTGAGCTCTGAAGGGTTGAGCTTTTCAGCAGTCCCTGCTAATGACATTGCACAGGAGCAGGTAGCAATGCTGATACAGCTTTCATTTTCTTTAAAGCATCGCTAGATTGCTGAATATTTAAAAACATGTGTATTATAAATTCAGTAGAGAAATTGAACAGCTTTTAATGAGGAGTGCCCTAACGTGCATGTCACTGGGGCACTGATGCTCAGCCTGCAAAGGCAGAAGCAACCCTTGGTGAACCAAGGTGCCAGGAGGGAGAGACAGGGGAGCCTGGAGACATCGCTTCTGCTCCTGGCTGTCAAGGATTGCCCACGCTACTTCTGTGAGATCATTTCACTTCTCTGTGCTTCAGCTTTTGCTCCTTCCCTCAGGGAATAGTGATTTTTTTGTCTGTCTGGAAAGTGCTAGAGATGTGGCTAGCATTCCTTCTCTTCTTATCACTGTCACTGGCGTTGTCTGCATGGCGTCACGTTCAGAGGAGGGTCGTGGCTGTGCCCCAGAAGGAGAGTTCGACATCAACACACCTCAGCTCTGCTGCTTTCCACTGTTACTGGCTCGCAAGGAGTCACCTATAGCTCAGCTGACGTGGGGTTAAGCTTTTCCTAGGACCTGGAGTTTGGGTCTCGCCTGCCTACCGAGACATTCCCAGTAGCTGTCCTGTGTCACAGGTTGACCCTGGGGAGGTAGCTGTGCATTTGTTAGAGCACTTCATATTGCCCTAGATCCCTGTAATAAAATATTGCGTGTTTTACAAATATTGAACATCCCCTGTTGTCTAGGGGTTATGTTAAATGCAGCTGCCTTGGGTGTGGAAGGAGGCATCCACACTGTGCTATAGATGAGGAGCAGAGAAGAAAAGCATTGTAAAAAAATCTGCACAGCTTGGTGAGATCCCAGGACACATGGGGATGTAGTGAGGATACACGGCATTTCTGCAGTTTGGCATGCAAATACGGAGCAGAGTCCTGGGGGAAGGTACCCACAGAGGAGCAGGACTGTGGGCAGCCAGATCTTGTGGGAATTTGGCATTGAAAATCACCTCAGCCTTCTTTTCTGGGAAGTGATGGGGGAAATTTGCTGGCGCTAAATAAAGTCATAGTGTTATATCTCCATTAAAATAATTGTCCCTCAACAGCAGAGCATCTCTGGTTGACTGACATTCCTTCCTATGGCTTATAACTCTGCTCTAGAGCAGGACCTTTAAACTCTTTACTCCAGGTGTCTGTGATCAGTTTGATGGGATCCAGAAGGATAATTAAGATTATACAATCAGCTAACAATTAAAATACAACCAAATGCTACAGGTAGCTTTAATATGCCTGTATCTCATATTCTGAGTTCTCAATACCTGAGTGACAAGAAGAACTGCTGTGTCTTACAAGGTATACGTTAGAAGATTATAAAAAAAATAAAACAAAACCCAATGGAAAATGCTATCAAAGTCCAATAGCCAAATATTTATTCACAGAACTTTAGTTACTGGGAGAATTTTTCGGGCTGAGGAGATGTGCTCTGACAGTCAAAGTTGTTAAAAATAAAAACATCATTTACAATTTCAGTTCTAGTTGAAACTCGAATTTTTTAATAAATCAATATTTTCCAAACATAAAAGGGCATGAGCGTGACTTTCAGGCTTCTGAGAGGACGTTACACGCAGCAGTGAATAAACATAAAAGTACGAAGTGTAATATTTCACTTGGCAGCGTCCTCCTGACAATAAAAATTCATCTTCCTTTGTAATAACTTTATACCAATGCACTAAAATGTCTGTACACAAATGCCAGGAGTATCTGAAACAAGAGGAAGAACGAGCAGTGTTAGAAAATGATAGAGGCTGTTGACCTCATGGTTATAAATGAAACCTGGTGCAGTATATCTCATAAATGGAACATCAATAGAGCTGACTGCAATCTATATGGGAGAAGTAAAAAGTGATGCCGTGGGGCAGAGGTGGTGGTGTAAGTCAGATGTATTTACAAATCGAGCAAGCTATGGTGATATACAAGGGAGTGCAATTCTTTTGGGGAAGAATACAAAGAATAAAGAACAGAGGAAAAATGAGATGAGATGTCTCTTTCCATCCCACCTGGGCAGGAGGAGAAGAGCAATGCAAATGTGCTTGGGCTGAGCTGGGAGGAGGAAGAATTAAAACTACCTATTGTTTCAAAGATTCATACAATGTTAATGCCGTAACGCTCAACTGTCATACGAGTTTCTCTGTTCTTTTCTGTCATGGTTTGATCATCTGAATTTCTGAGCATCTCGTTGCTGGGAAGCCAGAGCAAGTTAATGAGCATCAGAGGGAGGGAGGGAAGAAGGGAAATAACTGACCGAAAGTAAAGCTAAATAAAAGGGTTTTCTGCCACACACCGAAGCTCACCACAGTCAGATTCAGATTGCCATAAGTGCAGCCACCTTTGTCATTTCAGCATCATAACTTTGACTTTAAGACATGCCCACATGAAACCCAAGCATTTCAGTTCAATGCGACTGGAATCCATGGTTCATCATATGCAAGTCAACGGGCTATTAGTCACCCAGCTCACTTTTTCGGTAGCTGACTTTGGGCAGATGGCAGCTGTTATATTCCTTTGAGCAATTCTGTCTTCTGCTTTATTTTTCTCCTTGGACTAGATGCTCCATTGAAGTGTCTATGCTTGAACAAGAGCAGTAATCTCATTAACTGGTAGCAGTGGTGGGGCTTTATCTTCCGTGCTTACCACATGTTGGGCCAACGCATGATGAGAATACACGTCCCGGTCTTTGATCGTGTATTGGGTCTGCGTGGCAAGGTTTTGGTAGCAGGGGGGCTACAGGGGTGGCTTCTGTGAGAAGCTGCTAGAAGCTTCCCCCATGTCCGACAGAGCCAAGGCCAGCCGGCTCCAAGATGGACCCACCGCTGGCCAGAGCCGAGCACATCAGCGATGGTGGTAGCGCCTCTGGGAGAACATATTTAAGAAGGGAAAAAAAAAGTTGCTGGGGCACAGAAACTGCAGCCAGAGAGAGGAGTGAGAACATGTGAGAGAAACAACCCCGCAGACCCCCAGGTCAGTGCAGAAGGAGGGGAGGAGATGCTCCAGGCGCCGGAGCAGAGATTCCCCTGCAGCCCGTGGGGAAGACCACGGTGAGGCAGGCTGTCCCCCTGCAGCCCAGGGAGGTCCACGGGGGAGCAGATCTCCACCTGCAGCCCGGGGAGAGACGACCCCATGCTGGAGCAGGGGACAAGTGATGAGTCCTGCCCCTGAGGAGGAAGGAGCGGCAGAGACAACATGTGATGAACTGACCCCAACCCCATTCCCCGTCCCCCTGCACCGCTGCGGGGAGGAGGGAGAGCGGCTTTGGTGGGCACCTGGCATCCAGCCAGGGTAAAGCCACCACAGATCATTTCTCTTTCCTGTCCCAGCGACGTGAGATTAAATCTTGATCCCATTCAGGGTATCATCAAAGCACTCAGTGAGCGACTGGGATGAGAACTTTTGGTGCAACGCCAGAAATACCGTAATCTTCAACAAGTCCATGACATGGTAGTGGTGGCCCTGTATTCCTTCCCTGTAGAAAGTCGGTAGCTTCTAGGCATAGCTATAACTATTCAGGAACCACAAGGTGTAGTTGGGCAGGTATGGACGTGTTTTAGGAAATCCTAAAAAGGGGGCTACCTGTTGGTGGCTTTTTGGTTAGGCTGCCAAAAGACCCCTTCCTAGAGATAAAAATTCAATAACCTTTTGCTGTGGATGTGCCACAATTATCAGTCATTTAAAAACAGTCTTGCTAATAGAGTGTTTTATCATGCTGGGCAGTCTCTGCATTCTTCATTATTTAGTGTTTGCTAAGCTGATGGCTCTTCCATAGCTCTTCCCTTATCTGCACTCCTTCAGAATTGGATTTTATATTTTCCGAACCAGTCAGATATGACAAAGTCATTTTCTTTTGCTCTTGTCTTTTGAGGGAATACAAACTTCTTTTTTACAATAACCATTTAAGGATTAAAGTTGCTGGAAGAAGATGAATTAACTGAGGAAGTCAAGTAAATTTTAAATAGGTCTTATGTGAAAATGGAAGTAGGGTTTCCTCTCTTCTTCCCCTCCTGCTTCTCTGCCTTGTCATATGCAGATATAACATATACTCATCCTTTTCCTTTGCCAGAGCTTCAGCCTTCTGAAGCCCTCTGAATATTTTACAAATAAGTAATTATTATGCACGATGAAGGAGTTGGGACAATCTTTACATTTTTAAGATGGTTGCATGCTGTGTGTAGGTAGGAAGATGAAAGATTAGCCATTAGCTTACTGAGTTGCAGCTACCCTTTTAAATTCAGCCAGCTGTTGGCATTTCGTGACTTCAGATCGTTGTAGTCAGCAGTTAACGGCTGACTGGCTTAAACATTGAGTTTGAAATTACTTTCTTGTGGAGCTCACATAAAACAGGATTGTCTTTCTCTTCTAGATGGCTTATTGGAAGTAAAGTTTTTGCATATGTACGGTGTGTCCACTTACATGTATAAAATCAGTAGCTACTCTTGCATCCATCCAAAGGTTTGCTCAGTGTATCATGTTCACTTTCTATATGCGCTTTCCCTATCTCATCCTTAATGAAGAATATTCTTAATACCATTTTAGTTCCTTAACAGTTTTCTCTAGAAAAACAGGAGTCCAGAAGTAGTCTCAAGAAAGACATCTCCTCTCCTGTCATTTTCTTCTCCACAAAAAGAAAATCTCTTTAGAAAAGGATCTTGAGGCTCCATATTTAGTCAAAGTAGGGAGGTGCATC